CCGATGTGTGGATGGATCAAGTGAAGTGAGTGGTGGAAGTATGTGTTGAGAAATAAATTGGTTGTGTTGATCAGTGTAGTTGGATAGTGTGTCGGTGTTGGAGGATGTGTATTGTTGAGGATTGTTTTATGAACTGGTGTGCTTGTTGTTGGTGTTTGTCTGTTTGTTAGAATTTTGATGTTTGTGTTGATGCTGATATTGGATTGGTCGTGTGTTGTGTGTGTATTCTGGATGAAGATATACTTGTGAGTGTGAATGGATGTGATTGTGCGAACCCACGTCGCCGGAGTAGCTCAGTTGGGAGAGCGTTAGACTGAAGATCTAAATGTCCCCGGTTCGATCCCGGGTTCCGGCAGGCGACTGGCTTACACTTTTCGCCGACACGTTCTACCGCTATCAAACATCATTTGCATCACTGTAATCACGTGCCACCACTAAGCGTTCCTCCTCACAATCCAATCTCGTGTTTTCACTTGAGCTCCGTGTAACATTCCACATTCCCCTCCATCACACCTTCACTCACATTCAGTCTTTCACTCTCCTTCTATTTAGTTCTCTCTGTCGTAGTCTGTCTTAGTGGTCAGCACATTCAGCTGGTCGCAGACCGTAAATGATGATGTTTAATGAACCAGGTGGATTGTTGCATGTACACAATGAATTTGATGGAAGTCTATTGTGATTCAATGTGTAGGTTCATATTGACATGCATGTATACACACACACTTACACTTGCGCACACATGAATCCGCTCGCTCGCTCACTCACTCACACAAAGGAACAAATATATGTGTGACCTTGCAGTCTGTGGAAGTAAGTGAAGAGTAATATGTAGATGAGTGATGTTATTCCCAACACCTACGATTTCCTGACAATTTATCGGTCGGTAGATCGGTAACTGTGACTTCTCAGTCCAGATAGTGTTAGGTGTTGTGTATGAAAATGCGACGGTAACCGGTTTGTGTGTGTGGGGGTGGGTGGGTGTGCGTGGATGAGTAGGATGTCGCTGCTGTCGTTGTTGATAAAGATGATGACGATGATAATGATGGTGTTGATGATGACAATGGCGTTGTTGGGTGTGTTGTTAGTTGAAGTGGTGATGAGTATGTTGGAATAGTGAGTTCACGATGCTTGTGTGATGAATATTGTTGCGTATGTGTTGGTGAATTTGATATTGACTGTAGTATTATGTGGACATATCGTGTATGTGGATGTTGGTAGTTGTGAGTGGTGATGTGTGTAATTCTGTTCGACAATCGATTGTCCCGCGTGGTCTAGCGGTTAGGATTCCTGGCTTTCACCCAGGCGGCCCGGGTTCGACTCCCGGCGCGGGAGAGTTCTCACACCGAACGCCAATCTACACAACACTCATCTCTAGATCTACACCAACAAGCATTTCCCGACCACTGACACTATCATCTGTCACATGCTCACATCGACAGTCAAACACAAAATGTTCGATGACATATTGATTAGTCGTTCCACTTACAGTATGTCCACAATACTCTATTCACACACACTCACTCACTCATTTCAACACCTCTCAAGAGACAAACAACCTGTCATGTGAATTTACACTGAATCTTCCAACAATTCAACTCTCCTCGACTCATTACTGGATTTGTGAAAGTAGAGAAGGTGAGGCAACACACAGTGAGCCATTGAAAACCATATGAACAAATATGATTCATCAATCAATCTGGTCTCTCACTATCAACCAATCGGAACATCCGATCCCTACAATCCACACACATCGGATCAGTGTGCTCACATCAGTCATTCAGTCGGATAGTTACTCACTCACTCACTCACCCATTCATTCATCCAGTCAATCAGTCATTCAGTCAAACACACTCCAACATTGTGTTGAACACATTTGCTGAGCACTGGTCAGCTTTGTCTAATCATACAGCATTGAATGATGCCAACAATTCTTATTTATTATTCACACGATCATTATCGTTGTTATGATGATCATCGTCACGTGCATATATGCCCGACTACTGATATGTGAACTCTGTGTGAATATTGTCTGAAGAGTTGTTCGAAAACGGACAGTGTTGATTGTGTTTGTGCAAGTGGAGTGGGATGAGATGAGATGGTGACATACTTCGTCTTCTCATTCCGATGTGTGAATGGATCAAGTGAAGTGAGTGGTGGAAGTATGTGTTGAGAAATAAATTGGTTGTGTTGATCAGTGTAGTTGGATAGTGTGTCGGTGTTGGAGGATGTGTATTGTTGAGGATTGTTTTATGAACTGGTGTGCTTGTTGTTGGTGTTTGTCTGTTTGTTAGAATTTTGATGTTTGTGTTGATGTTGATATTGGATTGGTCGTGTGTTGTGTGTGTATTCTGGATGAAGATATACTTGTGAGTGTGAATGGATGTGATTGTGCGAACCCACGTCACCGGAGTAGCTCAGTTGGGAGAGCGTTAGACTGAAGATCTAAATGTCCCCGGTTCGATCCCGGGTTCCGGCAGGCGACTGGCTTACACTTTTCGCCGACACGTTCTACCGCTATCAAACATCATTTGCATCACTGTAATCACGTGCCACCACTAAGCGTTCCTCCTCACAATCCAATCTCGTGTTTTCACTTGAGCTCCGTGTAACATTCCACATTCCCCTCCATCACACCTTCACTCACATTCAGTCTTTCACTCTCCTTCTATTTAGTTCTCTCCGACGTAGTCTGTCTTAGTGGTCAGCACATTCAGCTGGTCGCAGACCGTAAATGATGATGTTTAATGAACCAGGTGGATTGTTGCATGTACACAATGAATTTGATGGAAGTCTATTGTGATTCAATGTGTAGGTTCATATTGACATGCATGTATACACACACACTTACACTTGCGCACACATGAATCCGCTCGCTCGCTCACTCACTCACACAAAGGAACAAATATATGTGTGACCTTGCAGTCTGTGGAAGTAAGTGAAGAGTAATATGTAGATGAGTGATGTTATTCCCAACACCTACGATTTCCTGACAATTTATCGGTCGGTAGATCGGTAACTGTGACTTCTCAGTCCAGATAGTGTTAGGTGTTGTGTATGAAAATGCGACGGTAACCGGTTTGTGTGTGTGGGGGTGGGTGGGTGTGCGTGGATGTTGCTGCTGTCGTTGTTGATAAAGATGATGACGATGATAATGATGGTGTTGATGATGACAATGGCGTTGTTGGGTGTGTTGTTAGTTGAAGTGGTGATGAGTATGTTGGAATAGTGAGTTCACGATGCTTGTGTGATGAATATTGTTGCGTATGTGTTGGTGAATTTGATATTGACTGTAGTATTATGTGGACATATCGTGTATGTGCATGTTGGTAGTTGTGAGTGGTGATGTGTGTAATTCTGTTCGACAATCGATTGTCCCGCGTGGTCTAGCGGTTAGGATTCCTGGCTTTCACCCAGGCGGCCCGGGTTCGACTCCCGGCGCGGGAGAGTTCTCACACCGAACGCCAATCTACACAACACTCATCTCTAGATCTACACCAACAAGCATTTCCCGACCACTGACACTATCATCTGTCACATGCTCACATCGACAGTCAAACACAAAATGTTCGATGACATATTGATTAGTCGTTCCACTTACAGTATGTCCACAGTACTCTTTTTGCCTACACTCATTTCAGCAATTGATCGCTTGACGTTCATATTATTACATGTACACACTCTTCAGATCTACCTCATGTGCTCTATCTTATCGGTTTTCTGTAATCTTTTACGCTCATATTTTACCATAATTGTGTGAGATTTATAACATTTTTATTATACTGTGAACTCGTAAATAAACTGGACTGATATTTTTATTGTCATTTTCAACCTCACATTACAGTTTATGTTTTACAGTTGCATTCTCGGATTTTTTTTCTATATCCATATAAGTTATTAATAGGAAGGAATCTACATTTTACTCTGTGAGGAATTTTCTTAGACAGCCATTTCTGGTATCTGGAGTCAATAGTTGTTGAAAACTGTTAACCGCAAGTCTTAGCCTTCTTTATCGACAGAACGGAGTTAATCCATTTCAACCATGATCCTGCCATCCTCAATCGATTGGACAAGTGCAAGGGTTTATAGGTACATACAAATACGCTCCGCCTAGATATGGGAGTGAATGGGGAAAAGATTCCAAAGAGTTTTATGTATATTCAAACGGTAGATGGTGTTTTACTGGATGAAAACTGCATACGTCTCCAGAAGTCATTTGTCACGTACCGGATAAAGTTCCATCGAGACAGAGACATGTAGAAGAAAGTCGACCAAAACCATGGAGCGCAAAAACGACAGTTTAATTTTGGTTAGAAAATACTCACTATTGTGAAAAACACTCTAAACCGAAAGGCAGCTGAATCGGGCGAAAAACGATAGCGATGTATGAAATGTTAGTTGATTTTATAGCTTAGTGTGATGCGCAAATTAATTGGAATTGTAGGGACTGGTCATTAGTCCGATTTCATTGGAGTCAAATAAAACGCAACTGAAAAATTAACGTCCATCTCCAGCAATAAAAACCACCATATAATACAACTCGATATTCTCATAAATACCTTCGAGACAAAACTTCTAGCAACACTGAGTAAGTTCTGGTCCATACAAAAAAGGAGCCATACTTTTTACTATGAGAAAGATGAACAGGTAAAAAGCGGCCTAGTCAAGTTGACAGGAGTGGATGCCGACCATAGATCCTACAAACTCCATCAAAAGGGATGTGTTGGGAGGATAGGACCCTTATGATTGCACGGTCATTGAGTTATCGAATGAAAATACCCTGACTGATTCATTATTAACTGTTCAACACTAGTACATGACTCAAGAAGACGCCAGAAGTTCCTCATGCAAATTATATGTAAAATCTTGCGTTTTCATCACTGTACATAGTTGACCCAGTTTTTTGAAATATATCTTATCACCAACATATCCTTGTCCTAATTTACGTTAAATTAAGTGAAGTCCAGTAGTGGTTAAAAAGTAACAAACAAAAAAAACATAATAAAATAGTTTACGCAATTTCTTTAAAAGAAACAATCTAAAAAAAGATATTTTACTATCGATTGAATTATTCTTTAGTGAAAGGCATCATATTACAAAAAAAAGAGAAAAGAATCCCCAGAAATACATAAGCACACATACAGATAAACACAGCAACAAAAAAAATCATCATTGAAAGTTAATCTAAATTATAAAGTAACATCCAAAACATAAAAACCTACTGTAATATTGATTATTAATGATACATAAAGTATTATTCCATTTAACAGTTTCAATCTGATTAGTTTGTTTAATAGTTTCATGAATTAGGATATAATATATCATAATGACCTGGTCTATACAATAATGTAACTGGTGGTGAACTATTATTCTGTTTATAATTATTAATAAAAGAATCTTTATCATTAGATACTTGTTCATTGTGAATATCATGATCATTATTGCTTGTTTCACCAACATTATCTAATATTAAATCACTATATGCAGGAAATTCGATACGATTTAATTCACCCGATTGTTGACAATTTTCTACATAAATAGGTAACTCAACAGCTAATGCTAAAGCAGCTACATGTATATTATCTGATTCACGGGCCATTGGTTCAACTTCCTGTTGTTGTTTTTTTAAACAAAATTTTTTTAAATAAAAGAGTTAAATAGTAATTCGAAAAATGCAAGATTTCTTTTAATTCACAATTTAAAATATATTGTCAGTCAGTCAGTATGCTACAACGTAGGACCAGGCATACATATGTATCAATCCAAGTTGCCATATCTCGTTAGCACAACAAGATGAACACCAAATCCATAGACGTAGTTAATTTAATGGTGGTAATATAGAAAAGAAAGGTTGTATATAAGAATATAGTACAGGAAGAAAGAAAAATATGAAGCAATTTTAATCTCAAGGTTTTCCATGGTGGTCTAGCTTCAATTGATTCATGATCTCAACTATATAAAATTATAAGGATATGTCAAGGTTGTATGATAAGTGAACTGTGAATATTAATGAGTTATAGAAAATACGAGGATTATCAAAATAAGTCGAAAACTTATTGTCCATATATAGTACAATCATTGTGAATCAACATAATTTGAACCTATTATTGTTCAGCAAATAGAACTCTTTGTGAAGATTAATTTTTATTTGATCAAGAGTTAATAGCTAAATCAGACAGCAGATCGTATTTCAAAAAAGTCTTAGAATCTAGTGTTGATTATCATTAAATACTTGGAAAATCTTATGCGAAATCGATATACACGAATTTGCACAAGAGTTAAAACGTGTCAGCGAAAAGTCAAAAAACTCATTTATATAATAATAGTAGAACTAATAACAGTGAATTCTACCCAGCTTTAGGTTACATTTAAGGTGTGATTGTTAGTGATATAAAGTAGTTGCCCAAAGCCAAAGTAGGCATGGATAGGATTCAAAATTGGGATTGAATGCTTTCATCAATAAGTTACCGCTATACTTAACAAATGCCCTGGTACGGCCGAGAGTGGGGAGAGTCTACTCTCCCTCTCGAAATGCTCTCATATGGCCACGCGAATATATAGCCTCTACCAGGGAAGTCCTACTCACTGCCTTCTCGTGGCGGGGGTGTTGTTCACAAAAGTGAGAGGACGAAAAGCGAATGTCCGGCGCTTTAACCGGGTTGGTGGATGTGGAGGATCCACCTAGGGGAGTTGGAAAACCCTGATTCCAAACCAATGGTCACATGGGCTCCAGTATCCTGAGGGAACAAATGGCGTACGAATCAATCATTGATCACCGGCTACCATGGGACTGCATCTCCTTACGTTGCTACACTGCCTTGTGAGTCAGACCTTTAGGTCAAAGGCTCCGGGTGTGGTACCCTAAGAAAACCACCTGCTTCAGTCTGGGCACCCGGACAGTATCACAGCCCTCACACAAATCGAATGAGATTTGTGAGGCGCATATTTATCTGGGTTTTTTTGTACCAATATTTGTGTTTAAATAAATAAATAAATAAATACTTAACAAATAGACTATCTCTGTACAAATCATAAGTTAAATGGAACTTTACACTGTAAATTCATTTTTAAGACTAATTAATCATATACAAATATTAAATTATCAGTAAGAAAACAGGCTGTTTTGTTTGTATATAAGAGTATTAAAGTTAAAACATCGTATCAAATTAGTAGAGAAAGTAGTATTGAAGAGCACACTAAACATTCATTCAATTTACAATTGTCAATATACCTAACCTGTAGTATTGACAAGACTTGTAATTGCCTATTGAATATTAAATATGCAGTTTAAAATATCCTTAATATCTTTGACTGATTGTTGAAGTGTGATGGGAACACTATGTAAGGAGGATCAAAATTGAAATAATTGATACAAAGCTTATACAACTCTTGACATTTTAATGACTACATCAACGTGTTAAATTGATTGTATTAGAAATTACTAGAAATTGGTTTGAATCCTCTAATGAACAATTAGGATATGATTAAGTAACAATACGTACAGTCGTTTGTTATTTTTTGTGGAGTAGATATATTATAGTTATCCGTCCATAATGTTCATATTATTAAAGAAATTATAAGTTATGATTTGTAGTAAGGAATGGCGCTTATGGATTGTTCGACTAATCGAGACAACGCTGATAGACCAACAATATTCAATAAAACGTTGTGAATGACTGCATAGGTGCTCTCACGATTGGATTACTGATAATGTAAGCCACTAAATCAACTGATATCGGAAGATAAAATAGTTACTCATTATTAAGTCTCATAAACGACTGAATAATATCAATTTTGTGGGTCTCTCACTCCTCCTCTCTAATAAATTTTTAAACGGTATCCATAGTCCTATTGTGTTCTCATCCATTGATTTATTGTTCTTCTACCAGTAATTCTTTTAATAATTCCACTTATGATTATAATATTTCAGAATTTATTTATTTATTGAATAAGAAAAAGAGAATTCAGCGAAGAAAATTTTTTTTTCGACGAAATCATTTACTTAAGCTGTACATTCGTATATATAGTGATATGGAAAATATATGTCTACAGAAGGTTAGGAAAGATTACATTATAAATGGATTCGACATTAAATAACAAATGAGGTGACGTACTAATCAAGGGGTAAGGAAGAAAATAATTTATGGGTCAGATAATAGTTCAATTGACAAATATGAAGAAAAGCGACAAACACAAAGGTCATAATAATAATCTGAATAATAATCAAGAAAGCTTGTATGAGGTAATAATAATAACTGATTAGAGTTTAAATGTAAAATAGAAATAAAAAAAACCCGATAATAATCAGATAAAAGTGCAGAAAAAAACAAACAAAATGAAAAACGTACCCAATGAGGGAATTAGGGCCAAGGAAGGGTAAGAGGTTGGACAAATCGTTTTTGCACGCAAAGTTCAGGCTTGCATTCATGGATTGCCAATGCCTCAGCAGTGCATAAAATATTGATTTGCCCTCCCTTTGATCCGGTTCCTTTAACTCTATAGATTATTTTAAAAGACGTGTCTTTTGGAGCAATGTGTCCACAATTGATCAAATGTTCTTGTATCGAACTGGTTATCTTTTTACATTCACCTTTTAGGAGCCAAGCTGGATAGTGTTCAGAGATACGTTTGGAAAGCGATCGCTTTGTGCGGCCTATGTAACGTGCTCCACATGAGCAAGTCAATTTATAAATACACATCAATGTGGCCCAAAGCGAAAGTTTATCCTTAACACCATCACCCCGAATGGTAGGCCGGCTAGAGAAAACGATTCGAAGCTTGGCTGTGTAGAAAGTTTTATTCAACGTTTTTGAAATCCGTTTATTCAGGATTTCAGCAGCCGTGTCTCCCTTGAATTCCATATTCATAAACAAGGTTTTCTTCTGCACTGTCAAAGTTATTTCTTACTGACGTCTAGGTGTTAAGTTGCTATCAACGTAATGGGTAAGAAAATGCTCTCATTAGATGTCACTTCGTTGTTTACAAATGTTCCTCTCACAGAAACTATTTGTTTTTTATGTGACTATATTGAAAACAATAATCTGGGAATATGTATCCCAAAACACTATCTTAAAGAACTACTCCTACGATGCACGCTGAGCGTGCAATTTAAATTTAATGATGGCTTCTATAGACAAACAGATGGAGTTGCAATGGACTTTCCATTGGGTCCTCTTTTGGCTGATTGTTTCATGGCCAATCTAGAAAATTCAGCACTTCGACCAATAATCGAGAAATTTCATTTATATAAGAGATATATGGAAGAGAATCGAACCATGACTTCCATTTTCTTGATGTCCGTTTGAAAAGATTGCCTGATGGTTATTTGACAGTGCAGAAGAAAACCTTGTTTATGAATATGGAATTCAAGGGAGACACGGCTGCTGAAATCCTGAATAAACGGATTTCAAAAACGTTGAATAAAACTTTCTACACAGCCAAGCTTCGAAACGTTTTCTCTAGCCGGCCTACCATTCGGGGTGATGGTGTTAAGGATAAACTTTCGCTTTGGGCCACATTGATGTGTATTTATAAATTGACTTGCTCATGTGGAGCACGTTACATAGGCCGCACAAAGCGATCGCTTTCCAAACGTATCTCTGAACACTATCCAGCTTGGCTCCTAAAAGGTGAATGTAAAAAGATAACCAGTTCGATACAAGAACATTTGATCAATTGTGGACACATTGCTCCAAAAGACACGTCTTTTAAAATAATCTATAGAGTTAAAGGAACCGGATCAAAGGGAGGGCAAATCAATATTTTATGCACTGCTGAGGCATTGGCAATCCATGAATGCAAGCCTGAACTTTGCGTGCAAAAACGATTTGTCCAACCTCTTACCCTTCCTTGGCCCTAATTCCCTCATTGGGTACGTTTTTCATTTTGTTTGTTTTTTTCTGCACTTTTATCTGATTATTATCGGGTTTTTTTTATTTCTATTTTACATTTAAACTCTAATCAGTTATTATTATTACCTCATACAAGCTTTCTTGATTATTATTCAGATTATTATTATGACCTTTGTGTTTGTCGCTTTTCTTCATATTTGTCAATTGAACTATTATCTGACCCATAAATTATTTTCTTCCTTACCCCTTGATTAGTACGTCACCTCATTTGTTATTTAATGTCGAATCCATTTATAATGTAATCTTTCCTAACCTTCTGTAGACATATATTTTCCATATCACTATATATACGAATGTACAGCTTAAGTAAATGATTTCGTCGAAAAAAAAATTTTCTTCGCTGAATTCTCTTTTTCTTATTCAATGACATTATGAGTTATTTTAGTTATTTGTTTATTATAATTAATTACAATCTTGAAGCGAAATGCTATCGATATTATGTCTTTTTTGAATTAAACACTTGTAAGCCATAACAAGAACAATAAAACAACAGATTTTTAAAAAATATCTGTTGTATTCTGTGGAGATTAAGGAATGGTAACTTTGAGAACTATCTATGAATCAATATGATATGTATATTTCCTATTATATAATTGTTAAGCAACTAAAATATTCATATTCGTGTCCCTTTTATTATGAGCTTTATTTTGACCCATAGACTATTATAATACGATTTACCATTCTTTAGTTATCCTCAGTCTATTGATTACTGTTCCCCCTATTCACAGCCACATTTGGCCAAATCTTGTATAAATGTTATTTTCTATTTTATGGTACGATTTGGTCTGTTTGATTGGTATATAAACCCAGTATGTTTGTGAATAATGATTCATATTGCAGAGGCTATTATTGGTGTTCTGGACTTAACTGACTGGGCTAGGCAGATAGCAGGACTGACAAGTAATCAACACTGCTCATACGGCTTTTGTGTATCATAGGGTGATCGATAAATGTACTTTTCTGTAATTGGGCGGTCATATCACGTTCATATATATCAACTGGGCAAGAACGCACGCACACGATATAATAATACCAATGATAAACTAACTTACTGTTTCACAAAACTGATTAATTGTTTTACCTTCATCAATAAAATTTACAAAATATCCAGCGTTTTTTTGAATGTACGCAGAAACTAAAAGTCTAAAAACGATACAATTTAAAATCAAATTAAATTAGTAATAATTAAAACGAAAATAGAATGAATAAAGTTAAAGAAATAAATTATTAAATTTTGACTCGATGTTATCATGTTTACCACGAAATTCGAGTATCATGAATGTGACTCAGTAACGGGTGATAGAGGGGGTGGCGGGGGTTGCTTATTTCTTATCAGTAGTCCTAAACCAGTAACAGAAAGCTTATTTATTCCACATGTAATACCAGTAAGATAACTAAATCGAAGACTAAGTGAATTAATATGCTTTGCTTTACTATACAAGTATCATAATGACTATTAACAGTAAATAATTGCAGTGTGGTCTACTTATATCCATATAAGTAGTATTTGGTGACGGTTGGACATAGAATATATTTTGGCAAAAGACAGATAAGGAAAGAACTGAAATGAAGCGCAATTGGTAGAGAACTGCACAAACAATGAAATTAGAGAGGACGGATTGATATTTACAGAAAGAACAGTTAAGATTGAGACAATTGATTGTTATTTTGCAAATTAACTGTTTGCTGTGTAGTTATCAGAATTTAGTGAGGTAGTCTGTAATTTGTGCTGAAGTACATTCGATTGTCCCCAACCGGTGTTTTGTTCACTGCATAATGTATGTACATACTGAGAAGTATTATTTTTTTCCGAATAATTGAAACAAAGTATACTTAGAAATTTGTAGCACTACTGAAATGAATCAAACATAGAGATGAAAAATATTTCACCATCTTTGTCTAAACACATATCATTGATTTTATCTACAATAAAATATCTGATAAATGACAGAAAGTCGACGTATTTTCATCAAGCATTTCAATTTCATATAAATTTCTATAAATAAGTCATATGTAATAGTTAACCTTGAAGCATTTCATCAATAATTAAAAAAACGGTCACCCTACATGATTCCAGACCAAATGAGCAAGATAATACATGATGAAAATCAAACGTCCAATCATTTAAACATAATGATGTAAAAGTTGTGGAGAAAATACAAAACATTCACACTTTAATATTACTTTGCTAAAATTCATGCTGATGATGATAATTTTAAAACAAAACGAGTGAAACACTTAGCTTAAGCAACGCAACAATATTAAGAGAAATCAATTAGTAAGTTACAAATTTATTTCCTACCATCTGAAAAGAAACAATTCTATAGGAAAAAGTATAGAATAGCTAACCGTAAAAATACAACATAATAATCTGAATATGCCTGATCGTTAAAAACTCCTTCCAATTCTTCCAATGTACCACCATCAACAGTAAACCGATCCACCATCCCGACGAACTAATATTCATTATGAAGAGAAGTATACAAAAACAGAAGAAACAAAAAAGAAAGTGAAAGAAGAGATTTATGCTTCATATTTAATAAATCTGTAATTTATTCACTGAATAGAAATTGATACAATGTATTCATCTGTATCGATTAACTAGTACATACATTCATCTATAAATTAAAAAAAGAACTACATTAACCAGTAAAACACTGGTGCAATGGTGACTTAGTAATTAAGGCACTCACTTTCCATCTAGTAAAGTAAACAAGTTCTAGCATTGAATTACTAGTTACTTCAGTCTGGTATAGCCAGGTAGTTTCAATTAGAGTTCATAATTAAAATTTAGCCAAAAGTTCAAAGCCATACTTGGCAAATGAAGTACATTATATACAGAATAAATAGGTTACTTGAGAAATACTTGTTTATGAGGAAAAAAATTGGTAAATGTAGTTTGAGGCACTGAGAAAAGAGCTCCTGTTAATTTTTATTTGTTTGAGTGAATATTTACCAATCTACATGTACGTGCCTAAACACATATTGGGAGAACTGAGAGATAGGAGTACATGTTCGCCTTTCCGAGCACGTTCCAAAGAATTTGAGACTGAGAGATACAACGGCTCTAACTAGTGCAATAGATCGGTATTTAACTCACCAGATGTACTATTGACATTCAACAAGCCTTCGAGATTATTAGCAGACAAAAAAAATAGCGTCTCTCAGGTTTCTCAAAGTACTAGCAATAAACTTATCACTAACTTGGTTAAATATTTTTGTCATTATTATTATTTTATTAGCGTTTATTTCGTTATGCGGTCTTCCCTTAGCTAATTCTTGTTTTATATACACAAAAACCATCCCTTCACTAATACATTTTCATTTACTGAATCCTCTTTACTTGTGTAAACTCTTAAAATCCTGTTCAATTATCACGTAACCCATATTATCAATTTTTAATTCCAGTAATCTTATGTAAAGCCTTCCTACCCTCTAAAACTACCACACAATTTATCTCCGGCGTACGAACCAATTGTTGGTCACCAGCTACCATGGGACTGCATCTCCTCACGATGCTCCACTGCCTTGTGGGTCTGACCTTTAGGTCAAAGGCTCGAGGTGTGGCCCTCTAAGAAAACCACCTGCTTCGGTCTGGGCACCCAGGAGGTATCATAGCTCTCACACAAATAAATGGAATAACGCTTTCTACTGAAAATACTATTCTCGCTCCTACTAAAAGTCAGACATTTTACATTATTATTTACCACGTCGCTTATTTACTCCCTTTTATTCTTAATTTGTGTATCCTTACTTTTCAACTTATGCAGCATCTCGCCCATGGTGGAAACTTCGTTCTATTTAAACAATCTCCAGTCACTGTCTGGTAGAAAGTGAATGCTCCTACCGAATACGAATACTGAACCAGTTTTTCTGAAACCACGTACGTCGTTTAAAACTGGCTTCTTTCAACGTTCACACACTAATGCAGATCGGACAATAGATAGGGTGGGCTATATCTTTGGAAAGTCTTAATGTTGACGTTTGTTGTCTATCCGAGACCTGTATTCAAGACTCTGGTGAAGTACTACAAATTAGCTCGCCGTCTGTCGCTTCCAAAAGCTTGTTTCACGTGCGTTTATCCGGGGACTCTGTGGCATCTTCGTCTGGTCTTACTGGCGTTGGTGTCGCACTAAGCGCTAGAGCTGGGGCAGCACTAGTCGATTGGATCCCCAGTAACAGTCGGTTATGTGTTGTTAGATTAGAAAGTTCCATCAATGTGAGAATAAACCGGCGTGAGAAACAATGTCTTTTTGTCATCTCCGCTTATGCCCCAACAGATTGCAGCCCAGATGCAATCAAGGACGAATTCTACCAACAGTTGATTGTTCTTCTCCAGAAAGTGAGCTCGATAGATATAGTAATACTAGCCGGAGACTTGAATGCACAGGGGGCCACACCCCGAGCCTTTGACCTAAATGTCAAACCCACAAGGCAGTGGAGCATCGTGAGGAGATGCAGTCCCATGGCAGCCGGTGACTAACAATTGGTTCATACGTCATTTGGTCCTTCAGGATACTGGAGCCCATGAACACCATTGGTTTGGAATCAGGGTTTTCAACTCCCCGAGGCAGACTTTTCGTGTCAACCAACCCGGTTAAAGCGCCGGAAATTCGCTTTTCCTCCTCTCAATTTCGTAAACAACACCACCGTCACGAGAAGGTAGTGAGTAGAACTTCCCTGACAGAGGCTGTATACGCGTGGCCGTGTAAGAGAATTTTGAGAGGGTGGGACCTCCCCACTCTCGGCCGTACTAGGGCATTTAGAGGCACGTCGTTTGTGTAACAACTATCGGGGGATAAGTCTACTTCCGAGTGCGTCCAAACTACTGGCTTCTGTCATTCTTCGTAAGTTGTTTAAAACCTGAGAAAGATTGACTCGCGAGGAGCAGGCTGGTTTTCGTTCTGGTCGAGGATGCATTGATCATATCTTCACCCTCCATCAAATGTTAGAACACCGTCATATTTATCACAGGCCAACAATCGCAGTGTTTCTTGATATCAGGGCTGACTTCGACTAGTTGGACAGGACTGTTCTCTGGGATTGTCTATTGAAGGGTGTGACTGGGAAGTTTATTAACATCTTAAAGGCCCTATATACAAACACCTCACACAGAATGAGGACATACAACTACCTCGCTTCATTGTCCCATACCAACAGTGGGGTCAGGCAGGGTTGTCCAATCTCACCATTCCTCTTCAACTTTGCCGTCGATGACATTCTGTAGACAACTCTGATAGATGTAAGTAATGGTGTTGATTTGTTGCCTGGAGAAAGACTTCTCGACCTTGAGTATGCGAATGATATTGTCTTACTTTGCGATGGTGCCCAAGTCATGCAATCCGCACTTAATCAGTTGGCAATCAGTGTCCGCAAGTACGGTACAAGACTCACAGGATTCTAATCCTGTACTCACCCTGGGTGGTGATCAGATTGGAGTAGTTTGGAAGTTCGTGTATCTAGGTAGCTACATAAGTGCTGGTGGTGGCGTGAGTGATGAGATTAATTTACGTATAGTAAAAGCCAGAGCGGCTTATGCCAATCTGGGCCATCTTTGGCGCCTTCGTGATGTTATTCTGGCTGTAAAAGGTCGGATCTACAACGCATCGGTGAGAGCAGTTTTGCTCTATGCTTGTGAAACTTGGCCTCTCCGAATTGAGGATGTTAGACGACTCTCTGTGTTTGATCATCTTTGTCTCTGAAGGATCGCTGACATCCAGTGGCAACACCATGTTAGTAATGCAGAGGTTCGGCATCGTGCGTTCGGGTGCTTTTGTGCCCAAAAGGATAAAATATAGGAAAACGTATTTAAAACACTTGCACATTAGAAAGTACTTTTAAGAAATAAATGATAATTCATAATCATCTACCTGTTCATGGAAATCCTCCACAGTAAACTGGGTATAACCATTAGCAATTAGTGTATCTTTACACTCGTCACACTTCTTCTTGAATCTAAAAAAGGATAAAATCAACTTATCCAAGGTGTGGTAAATATGAAATTCGATTTGGAGAAAGATGTTTGTAGGTGGTGGGAAAGAAGTCCTAAACCTAGTTCTCATTTCTGTCGAGACTCATCGGACAGATACATATGGGACCTCAATGGAGGATTTACTCCCTCAGACGAAATCTGTACTGTTAGTCATCGCAATTTCATACTTTCTTAATGGAATACATCAAAATTGATTTGTGTATATAGTACCATAGGTTTGGTTAGGACTGGGAAGAAAAATCATTTACATATTCGGGTCCCATATAGGACTAATTACAATCAATTCGGATTAACAATAATGCCTTTGACCATAATTTTGAATTCTCACAAGACAATGTTTTAATATAAATATATGTACATTACTCCTAAAACTCGTAATTTTTTTAATGATTTCTCTTCATACCTAATTATAAATAAAGTGAATAGGAAATAATTGTAATTAGATTAGTTACAGTGCCCACAGTAAATCAGCGACACACACACACTTCCGTTCACTGAATTGAGTCAAACTTGTTATATGATAACTGAAGATAATACCCGGTTGTCTAGAACAGAGTAGGTAAGAGGCGATTCAAACTTGAGAAACAGTTAAAAGAATTAGAATATTTTATCAAAAAAACTATTACGTCTATTTCGTTTAATAGCGTCTTGGTAAAACAGAGTCGCTACACTTAACAGAAAGGATAAAGTGGAAAAATCATGAAGATTTAGGGAAATTAATACACATAATATGTATCTCTACGTGGGTAAGAAAATGACGTTTCATCGTAATTGTTCGCGACTTGGATACGAAGTCAAATTTGTTAACATCTGGAAATAGCAAATCTAACACTTTTCTCGAATCTTGGTTAGGAACTCATGACGAGTTTACCGGGGAAACCCAAAAACATTGACCTTTACTGAGTGTTATCACATCAAAAATCTTTAGAATGTATTATCAAACAAAGTTCAAAATAGAAGAAACTATGGTGACATACACAAGATATGTCTGGACCATCAGAGTTGAAAACCCTCCTTAGATTCAATGATGGACATAAATATAACTTACACTAGGTTTTTTTAAAAGTGAAGAGTTATGGGAGACGATAAACTGACATATACTAAACACCTTTGATGTAATTTCCTATAGCACTCTTAAGATATTATGGGACGACGGATATCATTATAATGGGAAAAATCTATATATAACCCTCCACAAAAACTAATTAACAATATCCTAATATAACTATTTATCACAAAGCATATGGTAAAAAGTTAAAACACAATGTATCGTCAAATTAAAAGCACTTATATCGTATACAATAGCAATATTTAGAAGTAACTAATTGAAAATTGATGTGACAATTATTTCTAAAATATTACACAACCACCTTTATATATCGGTTTTATCCTAAGGTAACTACGGCAATGCCCTTGACCAGTGTTTGAGATTTCTTTGGAGAGGGTTGCACGCCTTACCACTAAGGTAATTGGACTTATTTCCCGAACCATTTCAAAAAACAAACTCCAATATTAAACTTTTATCGAGTGCGAATCCAGACCGGTAATGGGCCGGTGCAAAGCTTAACATTGAAGATCTGAGTCTATTGATTTACACTTATTCTATTTTAAAAAACCATTGCGGTAAACAGTGTTTACAAATAGTGGTTTGTGAAAAAAGAGTGAAATTCGCTTCAAAAGTTATTTATCATTTTTAAATTGAATTATTTATTTATTTAAACACATAAATATTGGTACAAACAGGCACCAGATATATATGCGCCACACAAAAAAAATGTCATTTCATTTAATTGTGTGAGGGCTATGGTACTGCCCGGGTTCCCAGACCGAAGCAGGTAAAAGATTGAAGCAAATAAATTATGTACATTAACGAAGACTGACTAAAAATATGATCATACTGAAAGTTGTAACGCAAGTACGGTTAGGAAAGTAACTGACACAACACGAAAAATACGAAGGTACAAAAACTAACAAACCTCCCAGCTTCTTTAATTAGCTTGCCATTTAGCAGGTACTCGATATACGCAAAACCAAATGCTCGATAAAAGCAGTTTCCATCACGTCGAAGTCGACTTAGTTTATTTACTAAGAAAGAGCCGATTGAAAACAAGGTGAGCAGTGGAACAAGGCACTTTTTGATTTACCACGGTTGTTAACCGAAAAATTCCCACTATAAACCACCAACAATATGTAAGTGTGTAATTTATGACTAAATCAATCGAATACTAAATCCAGTCATTCGAATTATTAAAATAGATATGTGGTTGCAAATATTTTAATTCTGAATTTGATGAGGCACCAAGTTAAAACAAATGTGTGTAGATTTCGAGGTTTATATTATACGATATTTATCTAATCCTCAGTGGCGGCCTGCTCGAACATCTGAGCTACCTGTCTCCAAATCATTATGTTTATTATTCATACAACCTATTAAGGTGCGTTTATGAAACGTTTACAACCTTTCGCTATACAAGTTCCAAAAATTTCAATCAGATACATTGTAGTTGCTGGCAATATGCAGCGAAAATAATGTACATTATTCAGATGTCGATTCCTGGACTGCTTACTTCTAGCTGACAACCACTCAATATTTATCGTCAGGATTGACCGAGAAGTAAGAAACGGAAACTTGTTGAAATACTTTGTGCTGAGAATCCTATATTGTACCAAAAATATAGTAATGAACAAAGCTAATAATAATAATAACGTCCCCTAATGTTGCTTATGATGAAATTCTATTGATTAGGTTGCAATGTGGTTGCTAGTCTGGCCTATGTTTTGATGTTGGGTGGTTCGAGATAATCAATACAAAACTCTGGACCTAGGTTTGGTGACAGTTAAGACTTGTCAGGAAAGTGTATATGTAATTTTGAGTGGACTAGTGCTCCCTGTAAGATTATTGGACGGCATACCAACTCACATAACAATTCATTTAATCATTTGACTAACAAATCAAATTCACACTATTCGTCCAATCACTTTTATGTACCGAATATATTTTGTACCCAACGTGAAATATTGCGTTGTTAATTGAACCTAGTTACACAATAGGATTTTGAGAAAGTATACGAAATTAATCGGGAACCAATTTACGTTGGAACTATATGTATTTACAAACTATTAAGAATCTGATATTTCAGAGTAAATAAAGAAATAGAAATTGCTTACTCTTTGTTGTAATTCCAACTCCTTCTGAAGTGTCTCTTTATCGTCATCCTTACCATCAGAAGACGATAGATGTAGTGAATTTTGATTGGTAGATGCTAAATTACGCTGAGCTCTGATTATATCTTCGATGTTAAATATAATAGTATGATTATTATCTGTTTGAGCTTCTTTATCTGCTTTCCTTATGGGACTAAACGAAGTATGAGTCGAAGAATTCGGTTTAACAGGTGGTGTAGGATAAACAGATGCAGTTGGTTTCTGGGTCTTAGGATGGTATACAAATGGTTTGACTGAAGTGAGTGATTGCCAACGAACTTGATCACGAACGACAACTTTATCACATGCTATCCACTCAGCAGGTTTGTTTGCTTTAGACGCAAGGGTACACTGTTTCGTGCTCATTTCATTTTTCTTAGAATATTGTTCTCCTTTCTTTTTGCCAACCGAAAGGGAAATAAAGTTGAATTAAACTGAAAGGGTTGTATATCTAAAAGTATTGTGAACATATGTTGAGGTTCAGTGCGTGGAATACAACGTTGTAGAATGCATAGTACTGCATAGATATAACAAAACTATTTAATATGCACAAAAAATGTGGTGAGTAAAGCTAAAATACAAGAATTATTTGAATTTTACTACACAATTCCCTACGACCCACAATTCTGGTACTAACAAAACAGTTAATTCTAGTTAGGGCAACTACATTTAATGTAATCTGATACTTGGCGGGGGTATTGTTTACGAAATTGAGAGGACGAAAAACGAATGTTCGGTACTTTAACCGGGTTAGTGGGTCCACCTAGAGGGGTTAGAAAACCCAAATTCCAAATCAATGGTGCACATGGGCTCCAGTGTCCTGAAGGAACAAAAGGCGTATGAACCTGTTGTTGGTCACCCGTTACTATGGGAATGAATCACCTTACGTTACTCCACTGCCTTGTAGATTAGATTAGGTTAAAGGCTCCGAGTGTGGCCCCCTAAGGAAACCACCTGGTTCGGTTTGAGCACCCGTGCAGCATTACAGCCTACACACAAATCAAATGACAATTACTACTGGAAATATTATTATTGACTTAACTAACGTTCAGACAAATCACATTCATTGCGTGAGGACCGAGAAGTCTGGTGGTCAGAGTGTGCTAATGAGTTGGAAGTAGCAGCTGCATCTGATAACTGTCGGAAGCTCTTTCAACTGATCCAAGACCTTGGCAGCAACAAGTCTGATGTGAGTGAAACAATCTGAGATGATGGGATGTCAATCACTAACATCTATGGACGTCTTGGACGATGGGCAGAGTTTTTGAGGAGCAGCTCAACTGGTCTACTGCCCCGGTAACATCGCTTTAAATGTCCTTCCCTCCACGGCTTGTTACGACTGATCCACCAAATGAGGCGGAAGTCCGCAAGGAACTCCAAAGTACCGGGCCAAGATGACTTACCTCCAGCCCAGGGACAGTCGTGACACTGGTAACTTACTGCAATACGATACATTTGAGTATATGCTTGGTTCGCAAGCGAATGTTAGACAGCATACCGTGGGTTAATTTCTCTGAAATTGGGTTTAGACAAAAATGGGTTGTGGTTTGCACAAAGTTGCAGAATATAGTCGCCATTATCGTGCTCGGAACTATCAAGTCTAGGATTTGGAGTCAATTAGACTACAAGTTCAGGATCAAGGTTGTTGTGACTTTATAAAAAATAGGACCGTATCCAAATCGTTATGATTTTATGTCCGGCTTTTTATCGCATGAATTGTCCACCAATCGGAATACGACTCGTCTAATCTTAACACTATCAAATCAATGGCCTTCAACTGGTATGAGCAGTCTAGCGTCCTTATTGGTCCCTTGTCCGTCTAGCCCTTCCAGCTGAGTCCAGAACACCGATTGCAGCTTCTGCTATGCGAATCATTTATTTCAAGCATACTCTGTTTATATACCAGATAGACAGACCGCATCACACCATAAAATAGAAAATAATATTTGTACAAAATCAAGCTAAATGTGGCTGTGAACGTAATTCATATAATAGTAATCCGTAGGTCAAAATAAAGCTTATAATAAGATGAATATAGATATAATTACTCAATAGTTATACAATAAGAATATATATAGGATAATGGTCCATTAACAGGTCCCGGAAGTTACTCGTACTTTAATTATCACTAGGATATAACAGAGGTTCTTATAATTTATTGAAGTAGATCCTTCAGATTCACCGAACCGGCTTAGATAACGAACCTAACATTTGGTATTAATCTTCACACACCTCGACGCAAAGACAGTGAGCAGACAAACAAGCGTTAATAATATAGTCTGGGACAAATGTCCCCTGGCACAAGTAAGCAGTATCTCCCTATGGTCATAAAAACGAAGCCGCACGGGAGCGCCTTGGAAAAGAAAAAGCTCTAGTTAACAATGGTCGTACTCAGGTAAACGCAGATCATTTTGCTCATTTATTCAAAATTATTTTTATGACATGTAGACTAGATATACGAGAGAAAATATTGTGACAATGCTACGAATGAGGTAAGATATCCAACATAAGAGTGAAAGAAACAGAAGTTGCACATTATGCATTCTAGAACGACATTGGTGGGAATTAAAATCCATTTATCAAAACACGTGTCCGGAACACCAACTCTATTGAAAGAACCCTCTTAGTGGATATTCAATATATCTACTGCAAACGAAAAGTATTCATAGAAAACATTACATGAAGACCACTTCAAGAATCTCTCGCTTCCTCCTAATGAAACAATTCTTACACGCTAAATAGCTTATTCACACTTTATAACTCAGTCGTTACTTGTTTCTTTTAGTAGACTTAGCCATCATATAAGCATTTTTGGTGCTTGGGACAGTGAATATTTTTAAAAACCCGGTAACGTTTTGAGGATGAATTATAGGGGGTGTGGTGTGTCAACGGGTGAATAAATCATTTAGGACCAGTACGTCCTACGGAAAGTAATATTTACCCAACGAAATATTGTACTACACATATGTAACCGACTCTACATTACTCAAAGTAATCCTAATTAGGATTATGCACAAAACACATAATTAAATTTTGAATAGTGTGTGCTAGCGTCAACTCCGCCTATAGCTCTTCTAGAGTTACTACCGGTCCCAAGCCCGGGTAAAGGAGGAGGGTTGGGCATGGGGTTAGCGACCCCATCCCGTAAAAAAGCTAACTCGCTAAAAAAACGCTAACCAGAAAAAATAATTCAAACCATTTAAACACTGCCCTGGGAGTTGAAGGAATAATTATGACGTCTCATGATGAAAGCCGAAACTCTTCGGAAGTCACGAGACCGATGCACCTTCTAACAACCAGAGCAACACTCTTTATAGGTACATGGAACGTCCGGACAATGTGGGAGACAGGAAAGACCAGCCAAATAGCAATGGAAATGAGGAGATACAACTTGGCAGTACTCGGAATCAGCGAAACTCATTGGACACAATCTGGACAACAAAGGCTAGGTATTGGAGAGATGCTGCTGTACTCCGGTCACGAAGGGGAAAATGCTCCACACACTCAGGGAGTTGCTCTAATGCTGTCCAAAGAAGCACGAAATGCACTTGTAGGATGGGAATCTCATGGACCCAGGATAATCAAAGCATCATTCAGAACAAAGAAGGAGGGGATCACAATAAACGTTGTCCAATATTATGCACCCACCAATGATAGCAACGACGGTGATAAAAATCAGTTCTATGAAAGGTTGCAGTCAATTATAGAGAAGTGCTCACGAAAGGACCTCACCATCCTGATGGGAGATCTAAATGCTAAAGTTGGAGTAGACAACACAGGATATGAAGATGTAATTGGACGACATGGATTAGGAGAGAGAAATGAAAATGGGGAGAGACTTGTAAACCTTTGTGCATTCAACAAATTGGTTATAGGCGGCACAATATTCCCACACAAGCGCATACACAAAGCTACATGGATCTCACCGGACCACACTACAGAGAACCAGATAGATCACATCTGTATCAACAAAAAATTCCGAAGATCAATGGAAGATGTGAGAACCCGGAGAGGAGCTGATATAGCTTCAGATCACCACCTGGTTGTGGCCAAGATGAGACTGAAGCTAAAGAAACACTGGAAAACTGGACAAACAGCACTACAAAGGTTCAATACAGCCTTCCTTCGAGATATTGACAAGCTCCAAGAATTCAAGATAACTTTCAACAACAGGTTCTAAGCTTTACAGGATCTACTGAAAGAACAAGAAACTACTTTGGAGGAAAACTGGAAAGGGATCAATGAAGCACTAACTTCAACGTGTCAGGAGGTTCTTGGTCCTAAGAAGCATCATCACAAGGAATGGATCTCTATGGGAACCCTGGACAAAATTCAAGAAAGGAAGAACAAGAGATTAGCAATTAACAACAGCAGAGAAAGTCAAAGCACAAGCATACTACGCAGAAGCAAACAGGGAAGTGAAGAAAAGCATTAAAGCCGATAAGCAGAAATACATGGGAGAACTAGCAACGACGGCGGGAAAAGCTGCAAGAGAAGGGAATATGAGACAACTATATGATACAACGAAGAAATTGGCAGGAAGATATAGCAAACCAGAGAGACAAGTCAAGGACAAAGAAGGAAAGGCAATCACGGATATTGAAGAACAGAGGAAAAGATGGGCAGAATACTTCGAGGAACTGCTGAATAGACCAGCTCCATTGAACCCACCGAACATCGAAGCAGCCCACACAGACCTTCCAATAGATGTCACTCTACCAACGATCGAAGAAGTCAAGATGACCATCAGACAACATGCTTCACCTTCTGTTCAAGAAGATTTGAGAAGAGGAACAAGTGCCAACGGACTGGAAAGAAGGATATCTCATCAAGATACCAAAGAAAGGAGATCTGAACAAATGTGAAAACTACAGAGGTATCAGTTTGTTATCAGTACCAGGAAGTTTTCAACAGAGTGCTGCTGAATCGGATGAAAGACGCAGTAGACGCCGAACTTAGGGATCAACAGGCTGGATTCCGTAAAGATAGGTCATGCACAGACCAGATTGCGACACTACGGATCATCGTTGAACAATCATTTGAGTGGAACTCATCACTGTACGTCAACTTCATTGACTATGAGAAGGCATTTGACAGCGTGGACAGGAGAACATTATGGAAACTTCTTCGACACTATGTAGTTCCTGAAAAGATTGTCAACATTATCCAAAACTCATACGATGGACTACAGTGCAAAGTCATGCATGGAGGACAGCTGACAGATGCATTTCCAGTAAGGACCGGAGTCAGGCAAGGCTGTCTACTCTCCCCATTCCTCTTCCTTCTAGTGATTGACTGGATTATGAAGAATTCGACATCTGACGGGAAATACGGAATACAATGGACAGCTCAGAATCAATTAGATGATTTGGACTTCGCAGATGACCTAGCCCTCCTCTCTCATACACACGAACAAATGTAGATGAAGACAGCAAATGTAGAAGCAGCCTCCGCATCGATAGGCCTCCACATTCACAAAGGAAAAAGCAAGATTCTCAAATGCAACATGGAGAACACCAACACAATCACACTTGATGGCGAAACTCTGGAAGAGGTGGAAACATCCAAGTACCTGGGGAGCATCGTTGATAAACAAGGAGGATCGGATGCAGATGTAAAGGCGAGGATTGGCAAAGCAAGGGCAGCATTTTTACAATTGAAGAACATATGGAACTCAAAACAACTCTCAACCAATTTCAAGGTCAGAATCTTTAATGCGAACGTCAAGACAGTCCTACTGTATGGAGCTGAAACGTGGAGAACTACTACGACCATCATCAGGAAGGTACAAATATTTATAAATAGTTGTCTACGCAAAATACTCAACATCCATCGGCCGGATACTATCAGCAACAGCGTTTTATGGGAGAGGACAAACCAGCTTCCAGCTGAAGAGGAAATTAGGAAAAGACGTTGGAAGTGGATCGGACATACATTAAGGAAATCACCAATGTGCATCACGACTCAATCCCTAACTTGGAATCCGGAAGGGAAGCGGAAAAGAGGAAGGCCAAAGAACACACTACGCCGAGAAATAGAAGCAGATATGAAAAGAATGAATAGCAACTGGAAAGGAAGGCTCAGGACAGAGTTGGATGGGGAATGCTGGTGAGCGGCTCGACGAGGAGTAGAAGGCGTAAGTAAGTAAGTGTGCTAGCGTCGTGTGTATGAATGCCGTGACAAATTAAACAACATTTAGTTCTACATCTTCGATAGAAAAGTCGATATTTCATAAAAGTTGGCTTCTTAAGTACTCACAATCACAAATTGAACTATGACCACATGACCACACATGATCTCTCTAAAACGAACTTTGATAGATCAGTTTCAGTTTGGAAAGGACAGGAGGCTTGATAGCCTGTGTTAGTCCTGGCAATGATGGTCTCTCAGCTGATCCAACTTTCTTTTGAAGGAGATGACGGATGGAGCCTCAACCACGTGCTGAGGTAATTAATTCCACTCGTTGATTATTTGATGGGAAAGTCGGTAGTCAGCTAACAAGTAATTCGTTCTGGGCTTGTGAACGTTTTTGGAGTGTCCTCGTAGATTTTCTGTTTTGGAAGACAAGAAAAATGAGGGCATATCAGGTGCAAATTTGTCATTAAGCAATTTGAAAACTAATCAAGTCGCCTCTGATTCTTCTATATGACAGTGGGAATAGGTTTAGCTTGGTCAGTCTAGTACCATACGGGAGCTTCGCTATTCCGGGAACCAGCCTAGTTGCTGTTCTCTGAACCCTTTCCAAGAGTTCACTGTCTTTTTTCAGGCAGGGGCTAGCTGCTTGTATGCAGTACTCAAGTTTAGGACGTACGAACACTGTATACAAAGTCGAGATGCCTAAAAGCCCTGCGTATGGACCGTAAAGTCCTAAAACCTTTGGCGGCTATTGCATGGTAGTGTGCAGCAGTCTTTAAGTCTTGACTAACGATGACGCCTAAGTCATTGTGTGCCTGGACAATAGGTAACTCAGTGTTATTCATCGTGTATGTATCTGTATCGATCACAATGGCGTAGGTGTATACACTCTTTATCTTCCCTTAAACCTTGAGATTAAAATTGCTTCATATCTCTCTTCCTTCCTGTACTATATCCTTATATACAACCTTTCCTTATGTACTACCACCACTAAATTAATTACTTCTATGAATCCGGTGTTCATCTTGTTGTGCTAAAGAGGTATGGCAACTTGGACCGATGCATAAATGTGCCTGGTCCTACGTTGTAGCTGACTGACTGATCTGTACCCTGGTGGCCAATATGCATCACAATACACTTGGAAGTGTTTATCGGCAATTGCCAGGTTTGGGACCATACAGATAATCTCCCCAGGTCGTTTTGAAGTTCTAAGCTATCGCCCTTGCTTTGTATCACTCTCCATATCTTGACATCGCCAGCATAGAGTAAGACCGATGACGATCGTAGATGAGGAAGGTCATTTACGTACAGGAGGAATAACACTGGCCCCAAAACTGTACCCTGGGGGACTCCACTAAGCACAGTTTCCCAGCTAGACAACTTGGAGTTCACCCTTACTATTTGTTGACGCCCAACTAGGAAGTCTGTTATCCACATCAATAGATTGCCTCCAATCCCGACATTCCTTAGCTTATATAACAGCCGGTTATGCGGAACTTTGTCGAAAGCTTTGCTGAAATCGATGTAAGCTACGTCTATGGGTAATTTTTGGTCCTTAAGAGCGCACCAGCTTTCACGAGCGACTAATAAGTTTGTGAGACAAGAGTAACCTGTTCTAAAACCATGCTGCTTTTCGGAGAGGATCCGGTTTTCATCGAGATACTTTAACAGCTCCTTCCGAATAATCTTTTCTAAGATTTTAACAACCACACTAGTTAGGCTAATTGGTCGGTAATTCTCAGGCTTACGTTTTGTACCTGTTTTGAAGACTGGACTTACTATGGCGTTCTTCCAGTCTTTTGGTAGACGACCCTGGGTTACGGATAGATTAAAATATACACTTAAAGGGTTCGCAACAAAGTTATCTAATTCCTTTAGTAACCTAGGATGCAGTTCATCGGGTCCAGTGGATTCACCTATGTCAAGCTTAACTAGCAGACCAAGGACATCAAGTTCTTTAATGGTCACGCTGTCCAGTGCTTGTGTGGGGGGATTTTCATGAACTGGTGAGAATGGTGTTTCTATGGTGTATACATTGCTAAAGTATTTAGAGAATACTTGAGCTTTGCCAAAGTCGTCCTCTACTAGTGATGAGGCAGTACCGTCTCCCCATAGTGAAGGAACATTTCTTCTTCTTTTTGCTCTTTGGTTTATATACGAATACAAGCGTTTATGGCATTCAATAGATTCCCTAACTATTTTCTCTTCGTACAGCTTTCTGGCCTTACGGAGGGTCGAGGCACAGGTATTTCGAGCCTTTTGATACTGAGATTTTGCCTCGTCAGTCCCCAGTAACCTAAATCTATCCCACATTTTCCTTCTTTTACGGAGAAGGATGCGAACCTCCCTACTGAACCACGGTGGAGAGTTTCTCGGCCCCTTAGGTGTAGTCCAAGGGACATGGGGGCGGTAACTTTTAAGTATAAATTCCGGAATACGTCCCAAGCCGTTTCGATTGATGACTCTGGGTCTATTTTCCAATCTACTGATGATGCTGATTTCATGATGTCTGGTATGTTGGCTTTCCAGACGTTAGGTCTGGATTGAGCTGTGGCGTGCTCGTGATCGACAGTTATATGGAAGTCAAAGGATAAAACTGCATGATCACTTTTGCCTAGGGGTGGCATGTAATCCAGGTTTGCAACATCATCCTCATAATGAGTCAATATAAGATCTAGTAGGGATGATGCAGAACCCGGGTCGTACCTAGTTGCTTCCTTCACGTGTTGCACTAGGGCACATGTGATTACCGCGTCAACTAGTTTCCGTTCGAAGGAATTTGCTGACGATTCAGTCCACAGGTTTCCCCAGTCCACCATGGGTGCATTAAAGTCCCCTAGGATTAGGCATCGATCACTTCGTGATAAAGTGTTGAGACTGCTTAGCAGGACCTCGTTTACCTCACAGCTTGGACTGCGATAGATTAAACTAAGCAGCAACTCTTGTCCCCTGCATTTCAGGCGGCAGCTAACTAATTCATACGTCCCACTCTCATGGGATACACTGTCGATAATGGTGAATGGAATAGCATTTCTAATGAACAGAGCTACTCCCCCTCCTTTACGCGTTTGTATTCTATCGGCCCTTACTAATGTAAAACCCTCGAAACCAAGTTCCCCACTATATATAGACCGCGTCAGCCATGTTTTTCTGACTGCGATTATGTCTGGCCTAGTTGAGTCAATCTGTACACCTAGTTCCGGTAGCTTATTGAGTAAGCTCCGGGCATTGGTATAACAGATCCGAAGCCTAGTTAAGTGGCCTCGTGCTTCACTTAGAGTGGCTTCGGCATCATCCTCTGTCGAAGCATCACAACCCGAAAATTTACAATTTTTATGTCTTTTTCGCCAGCGTCTAATCTGAGCTGTATTTCTTTTTCAGCTTTCCGTCTTTTTACACGGTCAGCCAACAGTAAGTCCTTACGGAGAAAGACTCCTGAACCCTTTAATCTGTGTCCATTTTCTAAGATCAAGTCGCAAATCTGCTAATGGTAAGCAGCTGGTATTATTTGGTATTCATTAGTCAATCATGATGTGATTATGTACACTATAAAATTAAGAGCTTTGATTTCTAAACAGGCAACTGTCAGTATGTATACTGACAATTTAGCAGACTTGATCTCGTGACTAGTTTCAATTGAGGATACACCACATCAACTCTTACCATCAGTCGACTATGTTATTCACCCGACCCCCCAAAAATGACCTTCAGATTCAATACTCAATATCTACGTGGCCGGAAATTGTAACAGCTCACGTCTGACTTGTATGTATTTTGGGTACTAAAGTATAAAAGAAAGAATGATATAGTAGGTGTAGTGGTTTTTGTTAAGTCAGAAAATACTTTGCATGCTAGGGAAGCATGTAGAGTATCTTCAAATGGTTGTGGACGGAATAGAAGAAGCTTTCGCTTAACGGGCTTCCGTGTCTAGTAGCAGTGGATCATCATTACATTCAGGCAAGAACCTAGGTATTTTAACGATAATAAGAAAAAAAGGAAATTGATAACTCATAATAGTTGTGGTGTCATCACCATTCAAGAATCTTGGTTAACTGACTTACAGGATGATTACTTAGTATCATTACGTGATTTTAATATCTATCGTCAGGATCGATCAAACAACAAAAAGACCTGCGGTGTCGGAGTAGCTACGTTTGTAAACGTTAACTGGTGTCGATCTACTTTTGCCTGTTTCAAGTTTTCAAATGACTTTATTGACTGTCTAACTTTAAGGTGCCGTCCAAAACACCTGAATAAATACAAATATATTTATGTTACCAATATCCACATGACTACAGGCTGCACATCATCTGCGCTATCTGGCTTCGCTGATAAATTTACTGAATTCGCCGTTACTGCCTTCAGTGATTCACTTTCAATTGTATGTGGTGATTTCAATTCATGTGACTGTAGCTTCCTTACATCACTAGGTCACCTAAATGTAGTAGATTTTCCTACTTGTTTGAATGCTCATCTAGACTTGGTTTTCATTAATGATGTGGGTACCTATGTGACTCGCAAACGTGCTCCATTGTCTAGCTCGGATCACTATATAATTCGTGTTCTATCTAAAGTATATGGTAAACATGGAAAGAGAACACATATACACCATACCAAAAAAGTAATATACAGGAATTACTCAGAAGAAAATTTACAAAATCGAAAACACATGTTTCGTACGACCAACTGGGAATTATTTACAGATGACTCAATAGAAAACACAACTGATGTTATCACCTGTCATCATAAATTCTGTTTTGATATTTGCTGTTCTACCGGAACCTTTTCAAGTTTTGATCGACTTACATCTCCACAACTAAAACGACTATGGAGGGTAAAAGAAAGGATGTACAAGGAGAAAAATACTATTGAAGTTCGTAAGTTAAATGGTCAAATAAGCCTAGAGATTAGACGTCTCAACTCTGTGTTTACTCAGAAACTCCTATCTTGTAAAAGCTCTCCAAGTATGTGGAAACTCCTTAAAGAAATTACAGGGGACAGACAGACTAGAAGCGATAAAAAGCTGAATGTTTGTGACTAAAATAAGTCCTTTATTCGTCAGTCATCTGACATCATGCCCCCTATATCCAAGGGTTTGAAGAATAACTGTGTCCCCAGTTTCACTGAAAATGATGTCCAAAAATGTCTCCAGTCACTTA